TACCTCAAGTTCATTGACTTCGGAAAGACCTTAGACAGCGTTGACTGAGAAGTAATTTGGAAATTACTTCAACACTACGGCGTGCTTCAAGTCTTCAAACCTCATTTAATTGTAGGCTGCGTGACAGTGGCACGTGTCAGGTGATCTGAAAATGAAAAATCAGCGAGTTGTTCCAAGTGAATGCAGAAGTAAGACGGGACCGCCCGCCTGTTATCAATGACGATATTCTCAATTGTAGTGGACTCCATTATCCTGAAGACTGAGCATTCGCAGCAAGGATTTGGGACTGTGCTAGACCACCGATAGGAATAAACTACAAGATCCGGATTTCGCAGATGATATATATCTAGTGTCACACAAATTCGAAGACTGGCAGGCGAAAACCAACAAACTGGCTGAAGAAGCAGGCAACGATGACAGGACTGCAAGTGACGAAGATAACCAACGAACCACAACAACAATCAGCACAAATCAGTATCAAGGAGAGAAATTTAGCGGAGATCACTCCTTTCGCTTATCTAAGAGACATCGGTTCATCTACAGGCAGAAGGGATGATGTTAAAGCCAGCCAGAATCGGAAAGCCAAGACAAACCTTTGTTATTCTCACCATGTCGACTACAGTTAACAAAACACTCAGTTATTACGTGCTGTCAATCACGTCTCATAAACCGTTAATGCCCAGCTCTCGCTACGCTCGCACCCACTCTGTTCCTTGAAGATTTCAGAAACGCTTAGTTATAACGGACGAAAAAACCAAAACACCGATCTGCCGCTTGAGATTTCTTTATTGTTACACCAACATATAAAAAGAATAAGTGAACTAAGTTCTGAAAACAAATATTACAATAATAAATCATAGTATTACTTCTGACGATGTTTCACTCTTCTTTCTGAACAGCGACCGATGAGACGATGACTGTCGTATTGATGCCTCCGCGAAAATTGGGGAAGTTGATTTTGAGCAAACAACCAAGAATTGATCGTTCAATCTTCAACTCCATTGACACGTGCGTTTTCGACAAATTCAAGCAATAATGGTGCCCGGGATTATATCATGTAAACTGTTTTCACCTGTGTAAATTGTGCTTACTGACACTATTCCATTGCCCCTTCTCACATATGTAACCTGTGTCAGTGAAAATTTATAAATATGCCTACTCCATGTATATGTTACTTATGATATTGATGATGCCTCTAAACTGCCGTCCCTCAGTTACATAAAGTAAGAATATATTACTATAACCAACTTGAAACCGGTTTGGAAGTCTGCACACAGCCAACATAAATAATAAGATTCGCTACACGACATGATAGAAGAATGTAACCAGCTAGCGCATACAGGCGTGGCCAGAACGACCGACCTCCTAAGACAAAGTATGTACTAGCCAGGTATGAGAGAAGATGTAGCAAGATACGTACTTGGATGTCCACGGTGCCAGCTGATGAAAGGTGACCGGTGTATACGACCACCACTTCAGTCGATTCCAGTTACCGCGATGGGTGACTTGTGGTCCGTAGATATCATGGGTCCATTTCCCCAGACATCCAATGGTAATCAGTACCTCTTGGTGATGGCGTAACACGCGACACGATGGGTAGATACCGTAGCAATCCCAGACCAACGTGCAAGGACCGTGACAGATGCAGTAGTTAGACACATTGTTGCAGACCACGGCGTACCAAAGACAATACTGACAGACCAAGGTCCCTGTTTCGAGAGTGAAGAACTTACTTCCCGTTTGCAACAGCTGGGCATCAAGAGGATCAGAACGACCCCATACCATCCACAAACGAATGTCCTGACGGAGAGAAACAACCGTGCACTGAAGGAGTGTCTGGCCTCGAAGGGCGGTAACTGGGAAACGGAGCTTCCACTGATTTTGCTGACACATCGTGCTACCACTCAGGAAACAACGAAGAAGTCACCCTTCCAACTGATGTATGGTACAAAACCACGATTACCGATACAAAACGAGACCTGGCCCAGTCACCAAAAATGGAGTACGACGAAATTAAAAGCATAGCGGAAGGAAGCAGTCAAGAATGTAATGAATAAGCAGCGGAGTGATGTCGCGAAGTCTCAGCTGAAAAGAAAGACTCAGTGCAATACCTTTGCAGTTGTGGACCAAGTGAAGTGTAGAGGCAGAAGATATACAGTTGGATGCGGGCCAGGTTCACGGAAACTCCTTCCAAAGTGGGAAGGACCGTACACAATCACGAAAAGACGGGGTCAAGTATATACCATCCGAAGAGGTGATAAACAGAAACGAGTTAACGCCAGTCAGCTCCAAAGATGGGTACAGTGGGACAAGCCGGTCAGTAACAATCTGCAACTACAGGATGTAGCACCCAGAAGGTCGGAACGTCTGAGCACGAAGCTATTTGACGGGGGACGAGTGTGGTGAGAGCAGGCTGCTAGCCGATTGGTTGACATTAATCTACGTTAATGTCTAGGTCACTAATATGGGCCGTGAGAAAATATGAACTAGGCTGTTTCAACAACCAATCACAGCAAACTTAAACGTGGACAAATATGATTCGCAGATAAATGGCTCTACTTTCCGTGAAGTCAGTTATCCTAAGCGGGTCAAAAACTTACGCTGAGCGTCACGATGTAACAACAGAAGACAAGGGCCAGGCAACAGATCGTTTTATTATGAAAATCAACACGTATTTATACATCTTTCAACTACATTATTATAGACAAGCGCAGTCATCTGATTGGTTGTTTAGGTAGACAAACGCAGGCTTCTGATTGGTTGTTTCGGGATTCCTTGACAAATAGAGTTCTCTCTGCGAATCATATTCTGCCACGTTAACTTTGCTGTGATTGGTTGTTGACTCAGGCTTGTTCATATTTTCTCACGGCCCATATTAGTGACCTAGACCTTAACGTAGATTAGTGCCAACCAATCGGCTAGCAGCCTGCTCTCACCACACTCGTCCCCCCGTCAAATACGTGCGACTGAAGTCGGCTTGATCTACTTGGTGCAGGCGTCATCGTTGGCTTGTCTCGCTGTATCCGTTTCTGGAGCTCGCTGACGTTCACGCGCCTCTTATTGTTCGCCATTGCGACTGTGTCTGCGTAACCCCATCTCGAAGTGATCATATATGGTCCTTCCCACTTTGGAAACTGTTTGCCTGACCCTGTCGAACATTCGTCCATACTTCGGCTCACACTTTCATATGCTGCTTTCACCCGACCTCCCAGCAGCGTCCCAAGTAGCAGCTCCATCGCTGACAGATTTTGAACGCCACTCAACTGCGCAGAAGCCTTGAAGTCCTGCCCGAAGATCCATATGTCTCCATCAAAAACAGCAGGGCATAGGCTTTCCATTTGTCGGTAGGCAGCGACACCAAATGTAACAACAGAAGACAAGGGCCAGGCAACAGATCGTTTTATTATGAAAATCAACACGTATTTATACATCTTTCAACTACATTATTATAGACAAGCGCAGTCATCTGATTGGTTGTTTAGGTAGACAAACGCAGGCTTCTGATTGGTTGTTTCGGGATTCCTTGACAAATAGAGTTCTCTCTGCGAATCATATTCTGCCACGTTAACTTTGCTGTGATTGGTTGTTGACTCAGGCTTGTTCATATTTTCTCACGGCCCATATTAGTGACCTAGACCTTAACGTAGATTAGTGCCAACCAATCGGCTAGCAGCCTGCTCTCACCACAACGAAAGGAACTTCCAGCTGGCTGCGTACCTCATCCGCAGTTGCCTTCACTCCACACTGAAGATCAGATGCCCAAAAAGAATAAGTTGCATGAAACTCTGACAGCAAGCCAACTAGGAGCCGACTGCTCAACCAGTGTGCAGTAGAAAATCGGGGGATGAAATACACACTAACGAGACCGTGGAATGACATTGTGCGTCAGGCCATTACTCAAGCGGAATCCCATTCGGAGGCGACGAGTGGGTTGTCAGTGCAAGGGTGACAGGGAGGAGATGAGATATTATGGGGAATCGGGGACTCAGCTGTAGGGAACAGCATCACACAGAACAAAGTGCACATGTGCTTTAGAAACCCTACAAACCACACGGAACCCGAAGGAATGATAACAAATGGAGTTGCACAACAGGAATGCGTTGGAGTTACCCCGAGGCTATTTTGTTTAGACGAATGGACCCGGTGAAGATAAGCAAGGATTATACAATTCCTCATTTACCTGCACCTACCGGAAACCTCCACTGAGGAACTGCTCAGTGCCAGAAAGCATCCGAAAGACTTCAGGCTGCCACGTTCTAGGGACGTCTCAGCTGATCTTCTGATTGGTTGCGATATTCCACACGCATGTTGGTTTTCGAAGCAGCGTTTCGGAGAGAGGAAGCAACTATATACTATTAAAAAGAATTTGAGATGGGTATTATTAAGACCGAAACAGCATAACAAGTAGGTGCCCAGTGCTTCACGTTGCGGTAATTAAAATAGCCATGAACTTACACCTACAGTAGGAGACATGGACATTGAAAACCACCTCGTCAAAAGCGAGTTGGGTTTATCTTGGGACAAGAAGACAGGTGGGCTGCAACGTGCTAGTGCGGACGTAATAAGGGTGGTCCAGCTGGAAAACTTTAGTGTCGTCCTCTAATTCATCAGTAGGAACATTGAATCCACCTGGTAGATGGGCTGCCTTCCCTTTGACATATATTGCTGCTTGTAGACATGTTTAGTCAAATAGTGAATGTGATCATTATTTCGCTTGTTTGTTTTAGGAAAAGTACAGTTGCTTGATGAGTGCTGAAGTGAAGTTACCTCTACTTAAATGCCATGTACCTTATGGCTCAGCGTTTTCTATGATCTTATTACACATCAATATTTCTTCAAACAGAACTACACACCACGCATTATTACTTTCTCCTCGAGTGTTACTCAAGCAAACGAAGCATTGAAATTCACCACGTCCATAGCGAGGCATTCAAACACTCAAAAGAAAACTCTTTGTCTTTTAATCAGGTCTATTTATTATGACAGAAATACCCATATTCTAAGTCCAGAATAGGAAATGGTACCTCAGCAACTGGTTTATCATGAGAATATTAACTCCTGCAATGCTGGATCGCGAAAGCATCTTTAAAATTTCGAATCACCTGCACTGGTCCCGACAAAAGTTCTTTCAGGACGTCTTTGTACAGCAAAATATGTTCCAAGTATACGGAAAGCCATGATGCTACGGAGATTCGGTTGACGTTTTCTTCTCTTTCAGTGGAGTTTATTATGTCAATGACAAAGTCTAAGCAATCATACGTTTCGTCCCCACCATTTTTTGAAGAAAAGCTCTGATTATGTATGCATTTGTAAATGATTTCATCCCACTTGGACGACGTCAAATCATAAGACTGAGTAACATCAGCAACGTTTATAACAACTGACTCTTCCCAGCCATCAATATCACAACGTATACCAAAATGAGAGGTGAAACTGTGCACTTTACCACTTGAGTCTACCACTCCACAATGCAAACTGGAACCTGGATGATAACTGAGCATTTTGCCAAAGTCTGACAAAATGAATGCAACTCTGGCGACAGGACAAGATAAAAATATTATTGAAACATGTGCGTTGGCAACTGGTGGAAGAAGTTCGATGGTTTCTCCACATTCAATCTTTTCATTGCACAACAAGCATAACTCAGGTGAGCTGTTCAGAGTGAAAATATATTCGTCATCATCATCATCATCATCTGTGCAAGGCTTCTCATGGGTATTCAGGCATGAATGTCTTAAGGCCAGTATTTTATGTTGTGCCATTCAATTTGATAATTTTGAAACAAATAAAAAAATGTGGTTGTAATATATATTATAATTATTTTTAGATGTCTAAGCAAGTGATTGGTCAATAGACAAACACCAAAAATTCAATGCCTGAAGAATTTCAGGAATGTGTCTTATGCTACATCTAAGCGTCACGTGGTCGTTTCGCGTTAGAGAGAAATTGTTGGCCTAATTCTTTTCGTAGTCTAGATCACGTGCTTTTTATGTGAATTATCTGTCATACTTGTAAAGAAGGGTTTTATGTTATTTAATGAAGTAGACACACTGTAGTTAGACGAATAATATACAAATGAATCCATTTAGGAAACACATTGATAATGTTAAACAATGGACAAATATTAAAATGTAGTTGATTGATACATTACATTTTGCCAGTTAAATGGACCACAAGTTGTATCATTCTAAGTTTTAAAGATCAAAAGGTGTTTTAGTGAAAATTAAGTTTGATTATTTGGCAAGTAAATGGTACACAAACACTTCTTGGTGTAAATGCTAGGCAAAAAGTTTCATTGATCTTAGGAGCAAGAATAGAAGCACACACTGGGACATAAATGGAAGTATGAAATAATGAGTGGTGAGAAGTGCGCAAAAACTAGTAATTTAAAATTCATTAGTGCTTAATAGAATTACAGACCTCTCTATGTATCCCTTGGTATGTGCGGTAGGATTTTTAAATTTTCAGACTCCAGTAAGCATGTTATTATACTTTCATTCAATTATGTCTCGCAGCATTCTCTAAATTAAAGAGGCATATGCAATCCGGGTTTTAAGTGAAGCTGGAAAAAGTTTTTACAACGTTCGATATGATGCTTTTGAACTTTGAAGCGGATTACTGCTAACAACACTTTCCCTAACAAAGTAGGGCTGTATCGTGATTTACCAAGCACTATCTGAGATATGCGCAGGGATTGGTACTGCCTCAAACTTCTGAAACTCGATTAACTAATGAATCTGGGTATAGATGATACACAGATTCAACTGTCCCTGAACAAGCTCTCTATAAACACAAGGACTTCTAAGATGCATCACTTGTAATTTTTTATTCTGAAACAAACGATTTTGTGAAAAATTTGAGCTATTCACGTCTTGGAGTACCTCCCATTAATTAGCCAGATGGATTCGACAGACGAATTTGAAATAGTGAAATTGCAACGATACGTTAATTTAAGAAAATTCAGAGTTACAAATGGTACATATTCGAACTTTTGCGTTACAGGCGTTCTGTTTTTGCCGGAATGATTCTTCTATATTCTTTTGTAGATTAACAATCTTTCACACATACCTACATATCCATATTCAACAAAGCCATTATTCTACCATCCGGAAATATAAATTTCGCTCACTTTCGGTATCTGCAACCCGGAATAATAAACACTTAATCTCACTTCAATTACACGAGAGACGGCAGTTTAGAGGCATCATCAATATCATAAGTAACATATACATGGAGTAGGCATATTTATAAATTTTCACTGACACAGGTTACATATGTATACATATTTCTTCCTGTTTATGCAGGAACACACCTATTGTACAGGCATGGATAAGTTATCATACAATTTACACATAATTGGGTGTAATGAATTTACAGTGTGGTTGTTCTTTCTGACATCAAAGTCAGTCTGAACAGTCTGCTATAAAGTTTGTTTGTGTAGCACATAAAGAGATATAGAAATATTGTCTTCGCATTAACAAAAAACCCAGACATCAGATGGATGTAATACAAATATCTGGGAAAAATAAAGCTTGAAGTCAATTCTCCTATATAACTTTGTTGTGAACAGCACACTTCGCTTAAAGTTTATTGATGTACTATTTTGAGATCAGTGATATATTTATTCCACTTTTTCAGCAGTCTTATCGTAGTTTTATAACAGGAAAGAAATTTAATCTAGGATGCGAAAACTAGATAAGGTCATATTAAGTTGTTTTACTGCATCAAATGGTGCCGAGGTCGATTCCAGAATTCTCCATTTGCTCCATTTGTGTCTGCATGGCGAAGTGTATTGGTAAGTTGAGTAAAAATGTTGAAAACTGTTTGAAAACCAGTTGCTTCTTCATTTCAGATCATGAATACTCATTTACAGCATGTTCGCCAGCGTCTTCAAATGGTAGAAATAGATCGTTCATGGAATTTGAGTGGTTATGAGATAGACGGTTTGGAATTAATCCTCATTTCAGTTTAGATGCAGGGTGTTTTGACCTCGACCAGAAGATGAATAGGAGCAGCAGAATATCAGAAAAAGAAAGTATGTGAAAATGACAAGGACATTAATATTTTATGCACTTATAAATGTTTATGTCAATTGTATATTACACATGTGAGAAGGGGCAATGGAATAGTGTCAGTAAGCGCACTTTACACAGGTGAAAACAGTTTACATGATATAATCCCGGGCACCATTATTGCTTGAATTTGTCGAAAACGCGGTTGGTAATTCCGTGCTGCGTTACATGCGGCCGACATAACAAACTGTTCACAAAAGTGCGAAGACGGCCTGTAAATCGCTAGCTAGTTTACCAAAAGCAATGTTTTCGGCAATATCATCTACGAGGGGCTCATCGCGGCGGTTAGTATCTAGTTTCACATGTACAGAAGTATTGATGAATCACTATAATCAGCAGCCGATGGACTTTTCAATTCATTCGGTCAGGAACCAGAATGACTGAGAACTAATCCATACAGAGTGTTCAATGAAGCCTGCAGGAGCAGAATAACACCATCGAATGAGTCAGTGGGTTTCGAAGTGCAGCTGTCGGCATGTTTTCATCGTTTTTTAGATATCCTGATTGACTTGGTTTGGTATAGTAAATGATTCGGATTTGCCAACATGATCCATAATAATAGTAATGTATATTTTCATATAAACATATAAATTTACATGAAAATGCAAGCCATTTTTACAGGCACGATCAAGTATGATATAATCTCAAATCGTAGATTGTCTACAAGTTAATAATGTTTCGACAGCTAAATATTTGATATATATAAGTACACTCATTGTCTGAAGCTGGCCGTGTAGTTATTGAATTGTATAGTTGTCCTCCGGGTTTCGCGGGAAAATCGACTTCGTTTCGTTTTCAACACGTGGCTTTAGGCATATGATGACCAACCAATACTGAGGTAAGTAAAACGTTTACAAGGGATTGAGAGCCGTTTTAGAAAAGTAAAAGTGCTTAGGTGAACCATTAAAGTGCAATAAAATAAGTAAGTGCAATATATCATTAACAAATGCATTCATAAGAGAAATACAATGGGAAACTAATTAATCTTAGGATGACAACGTCCATTTGCAATGTATAATGCTACGCAAATGGGTCTTACTATCATGATGTCCACTTTTGGCTTTAATACATTTATTCTCAAGTCAGTTGTTTTTATTTTGTGCATTTGGTGCACAACCGTACCCTACAGAGAATAGGAACAGAATAATAATAATAATAGTATATTCTCATTTTGTACATGAGAGACGCCAGTTTACAGGCATCATCAATATGATAAATTACATATACGATTAGCAATCATACTCAATAATAATGTTTTAATAAAATACACATTTTTTCCTACTTGTGTAGGACACACCAAATATACAGGCATGGATAAGCATTATATGAATTTCATAAATTTGGTTTATGGTTTAGTTACATGGTTGCTGGCGTTTTTGTCTTAGGTCTGTGGGAACAATATGATAACCAGTCATTCAATGGAGCACATCATGAAATATAGGAATATTGACTTCGCATTAACAAGAAAACCCAAGTATGTTTTGGATGGATTAAAAATACTTGGGAAAAAATAAAGCTTGAAGTAATTCCCCAATATAACTTAGGTGTGTAGAAGTCCAAATCTCATTTTTGATCTATATCCAAATTGGGTAATAAGAAAGCTATTTTTACAGATACGATCAGTTATGTTATAAGCTACAATCGTGACGTTGTATTACAAATAGATACTTTTCCATTGGTATAAGAGTATATTCCACAAATGTAATCCAGGTTGCGTCGTGGAGAAAGTTAATTCGTTATTAACCAGGCAACTGAAAGATACGGGACCAATAATGTTTGCAGATCATTTGTCATTGTAAATGGTCAAATATCCACATTATTCATTCTCATTCAAAAAGTCAAATGGAAGCTGAAATGGTGAGAGAAAAAAGAAGACAAACAACAGCAACGCAAAAGAAAGCAACGGGAGTCCTTAAGGAGTGATTAATAAATATATACATATATATTCTGTTTAGTAACTGTGGTTATTTTGGTACACAAACTAACTAGTCCCGTAATGCCAACTTTTATATTATGTGTAAACTAATATTATTACTGTCCTGTGTAGAAATGTTAATCATCTAGTTCCAATAATATTAAAATTTATAATTGTAGTTTGTTGTAACTACACGTTTAAAGAACTTAAAATATCTATGTAGGGTGAAAAAGAAGGTGTAAGAGTCAGGCGCAAAAGTGCATTGTCATCTTTGAGTAGTCTGGTGACTGAGGAGATGAACACTGGAAGTGTGTTTGCATCGCGCACATTAGCTGGTAGTCTATTCCAAATGACTGAAAACTTATTTAAGAAGAAGTTGTACCTCACGTAAGTCTGACAGTGCTCCATAGCAGCTAGGTTGTGATGATTTCTAAGATTGTAACTGATGACAGCGGTAGGTTTAGTTATTGGCTCGGAGGAATGCAAGAGAAGATTAGTTAGCTTATAGTAAAAGATAAGGTTTAGCTTAAGGCGTCTTTTCCAGAGGGGTTCTAATCTTAGTCTTACGCATCGCTCATGGTATTCCAGACCACTTTCTAAACCAAGAGTTCTTAAGGTAAACTGCCGTTGTACTCCCTCTAATTTAAGCTTGTCATTTTGTATGAGTCCGCTAAGAATAAACGGGCAGTATTCTAAGATAGGTCGGACACATACTTTGCATAATAAAACCCTAGTTTCATAACAAAAGAAATTGCGTGTTATGCATCCTATCAGCCTTCG